AAAAAAAAAAAAAAAAAGAACCATAGTATTAGCAAATAATATCCAAACTAGTCACAGTAGTCTGCTTCAGGTTTAAAGGAAGTGATTTTGAGGGAGCTGCAAGGCTAAATGCCTCTCAGTATTAGGTAAAGAGAGAGAAAGTGGCTTTCTAAAAGCTCTCCCCACGTTTTTGCCTAACATGCATTCATATACATAATTTGTAGTGAAAAAAGTACTTCTTATAAGAAATGGTTATTTATTTTTTTAATTTTCTCATGCTCATATTTCTCTCATCATATTTAGATCCATGACCAGAACTGTCCTTTGGCAAATGTCATCTGTGAATACTGCCACACCATGCTCATCAGAGAACAGGTATGATTCTTTTTCATAAATTAAAAGCTGCAGAAGAGCTTACAGAAGTGTTAGCTTTTAAGTGAAAAGTTAAATCAGTATGACAAAATCAATACAAGTGGAAAAAGTATTAGAATTATAGAACTGTAAAAAAATTTTTACATAAATTAATGTAATAAGTACATTCAAAACAACAAAAATCCAGTGCCTTTAATAACTTAAAATTCCTAAGTCATAACGTGGTACTTATGTTTATGTATACTCACATACATTAATGTAATAATGTAAAAACTTTTGAAAGAACAAAGATCCAGTGTTCTTTAAGTGCTTAAAATCCCTAAGAAGTCATTAACATAACACCTATGTTTATGTACCTTTATAAGGCCATACTGAACAAAACTATATAATTGTAAGATTAAAAACAGTTCAATAGCCTCACCTTGTGGCTTTGTCCTATAAAAACAGTTCAATATAAGGATAACCATTTAAAGAAAGAGATAACGTACGTGTTTGTGTGTGTGTGTGTGTGTGTGTGTGTGTGGTATTGGAGGTGGAATCCAGGGCCTAGCACATGCTAGGCAATTATTGATGTACAGCCCTAGCCTGAAAAAGGAAAGACTTTAAGAAATACATATTTACACACTGTGAAATTAGGCTCTTTAGTGTCCAGAGATGGAAGAGTAAGAGAGAACAATGAAATAGAAGAAAGCAAAACTATTCAGTAGCAAAGCATTATTTGTAGCTGTGTCCCCTGAGGCTATGGAAGAATTTGAGATTTCCAGAACCTGTGGCCCCTCTCTTGGTTGTACTTTAGCATCATCAGAGGGCATGATTATAATAGAAATCTGTTTTGATTATTAATAGAGAAAGGAAAATTCCATCAGATTGTTGTCTTCTGACACTTGGGGAGTTTACCCACAAAATATGAATATTAGTCACCAGACAGGTACACACCCATGAAATCTGCAAACCCAGAGATCACATTGATTGCCTTGCTATGTAGAAGCAAGCAAAATTTGTCACTTGACTAAGCTTTTCCATCTGTCTGTTGACAGAGTCCTTTAGTTTCTTTCCAACAGTCTTAATTTGAAGGTGTTAAACTTCTTTTTTCATAACTCCCGCCTCCTTGATTTTCCTTTTGGCCATCTTTTAATATTTAAAGGAAATAATGAAGCATATTTAAACTCAGCAGAAATAAAGTGTACTGTAGGAAAAAAAAAAAAAACCTAGGCAAAGCATCAGAAAACCCAGGCTTGCATCCTGGATATACTCTTAACTTGCTTTCTGATCTGTAACTATAGCCAAACTAAATTTTGGAAGAAAATTTGGTACCACTTTTGGAGATTATGACCCTATATAATGGAACTCGCTGTAAGGAATGTGTCTTTGAACCAGGTTATGGCGGTACACTTCTATAATGCAGCAGGCAGGTGGCGGGAGGCTGAGACAGGAAGAGCACAAGTTTGAGCCCAACCTGATCAACTTAGCAACTTAGCAAGACCCTATCTTAAAAACTAAAAATGGCTAGCTATATAGATCAGGATGAAAGCCTGGAGTCTAATGCCCACTACCACAAAGAGTAAGAATGTGTCTGATTCCCCATATCAAAGTCTAAAGCTTTCAAGAATGTGTTTAAAATATATTCTAACATCTTAGTCCCTGAATATCTGAGTTCCCTCATTTTTGACAAAATATGCCCAGGTTTACAAAAGGTAAGGTGATTTATAGAAGGTTGTCCCAAGGGAGGCTCTGAGGCTTGATTGCATGCAGTTGAGTGGTGGGCCCTGTTAAAGTTTGCAATTATCAAAAGTTGTTCTTTCTTGAAAATACCACTAGAGGGTGCCAGTTGCCTGTGAGAGGAACAGATTCCTTTTATGAAATGAGTGTTACTGAATTTTGGGGGCAGATATTAAGAGACTTTTAGAAATAAATATTATTTTAATCTTTGCAGGCTACCGGTTTCTGTCACAGCTTACTTAGCTTTGCTCTTCTGGCCCCAAAACAGCCATTGATAATACATAGTTTTGTTTAGGTAAAACGTAAATTCCTTTCTAAGTATAATCTCATCACACTGGAACCTCACATAAGGGAAAAACATTTTTTTACCTTTGTTGTGATTTTCAGATGCCTACTCACTATGATCTAGACTGCCCTACAGCCCCAATCCCCTGCACCTTCAGTACTTTTGGTTGCCATGAAAAGGTAAGGTTTTTTTTATTGTTATTTTTGTTTGGTTTGATTTGGTTTTTCTTGTTTGAAATCGTAAGCATAAATCAAAAATGCTCAATTATGTAGTCTAGTGGAGAATACAGAAAAGAATGTGTTTGGAAAACACATGATCTATTATATAATAAAGTTGTTGATGCTTTGAGCAGACACAAAGGCACGCTTAGGAAGGCTTTAGAGCAGTGATGGTGAATTCTGTAGAGCTTTCAGCCACACAAACTTCTGCTATGGTGTGCGCGCCTTACATTCACCTCCACTGCCTTAGAGCATTGAGGCAGACGTGACCAGGTTTGTTTGGGGGTTGACCCTTGACAGATGGAAAAAAGTTGTCAAAAAAGAGCTGTGAAAGAGTGAGCATCACATTTTGAGGGACTTTCAGTAGTTTCATTTGTTATTTGACCAAATAAAAATAGAAGAGTCTCTGTGGATCCCTGAGCCTGGAAAAGCTAGATCCAAAATGAGGACAGCATTGATGACATCAGTAACAGTGAAGACAGATCAAGGAGCCAGAAGACACCTGGTCAGCAGGGTAGATTATTGCCTGTGGAACAGAGGAGAGGGAGGCATCTAGGATGACTCTGAGTTTCTGGTTTTTGTCTCTGGATAGGTGGGAAAGGACCATTCAGAAGCAGAGTGAATACAGAAAACTATAGAGATAGTTGGGTTTTTTGTTTTGTTTTTAAAGAGTTTGTGCTTTTATGGTATTGAGTCACACATTTGAGTTCACCCCACACTGGAACATTCAGGTGGAGATGACTAACATGGGTGTATATGTGATCTTAAGCTCCAAAGAGAAATGTAGACACAAAGTATTGATTTGGGAGAGTAATTTGTTGTGATACTAGAAGGTGTGATTGTGATCATCGAGAATTAGCACGTTCAAGAAAGAGAATTCAACCAGGGAAAGGAATCATGAAAGAACAATGGTACAGAAACAGACGAATCCAGCAAAAAGAAAGTATTGTCATAGCTCCCAGATTATCTTCAAGGCTAGAGATCGGTAGTGTCAAGTGTTGCTCTTTCTGGAGAGTGTAATTACCCTTTTGTTTTGTTTTGTTTTACTTATTTGTAATAAGTTTAATAATTTAAAAGATGGAATAGTATATGGTATGAGTACATTTTGTGAAAAAAAATTTATTGTTTGTATGCATAGAAAAAAAGACCTGAAGGAAATAATACCAAAATATTAGTGAAGTTGGATGAAATAGTAGGTAACTTACCTATAACTTTTTCTGTAATGTACAAGAATTTTTATAATAAAAATTGTTACGTCATAACTATTTTATGTAGCAATTGTGATGTTCTTGATTACCTTCAAATAGCATGGAAAAAGCACAGGTTCCAGTTTGAAATAGACTTGCATTATAAATGAGGAATTGGGGATGTTACTTTGGTTTTAAAGGAAAAGGTAGAAAATGGTATTTTTTTTATCTTTATTAAATTTATGAGTACATTTTAGGTATACAGTACAGTTACATTCATCATTGGGATCTTGTACCTATACATGACTTACCAGGTTCTTAATTTTTCCCCGTTCCCCTGCCCTCCCTTCAGCCCCTCCACCTGTTTACAAAGGCATTGTTTCCGTGTTTTTCCTTTTCACATGTTTTTTCTTTTCCCTTTTTACCTTTCCCCTACCCCTGCACTTCCTCTACTCTTTTAGACCTTTTCTTCCTATTACACAATATCAATTATACATTTCAATCCTTATTTATACTTTTACTTTTTCTTACCAGAGAAACTATTTGGTATTTACATATGTGCAACTTATTAATTTCACTTAAGAGTATGGCGTCAATGTGCATCCACTTAACTCTAGTTTCTCGTTCTTTATGGTTAAGTAGTACTCCATTTTATAAAAAAACCACATCTTTATCCAGTCTCCAGTTGATAGCAACAAAAAAAGATGAGTATAGAGACTGATGTGTTTTGTCAGTGAAAAGTAGATTTGAAGAAAGCTGAGAGTATTTGTCAGAGACATCATCCGTCTTTTAGTGAGGAGGCAGGATCATCTCATTGGATCAAGAATCTAGTGAAGGCAAAGGAAAGTGTAGTGGACTGTGAAGGGCTGTAGTACGCCTTGCAGACAGCTTACTTGGCCTGGCCAGATCCTTTCCCCAGTCCTCAGTATCTGTTCCCCACCTTAGGCTTGTGCTTGTGTTTTAGATGCAGAGGAATCACTTGGCACGCCACCTGCAAGAGAATACCCAGTCACACATGAGAATGTTGGCTCAGGCTGTTCATAGTTTAAACCTTGCTTTAACTCCCGTGCCTCCACGTGATCTGCTTCCATATGATGCTGCCTCTCTGCCCCGGGTTTCCTCTGGGTGCCACCCAGAGGTCCAGAATTTCCAAGAAACCATTCAGCAGTTAGAGGGTCGCCTTGTAAGACAGGACCATCAAATCCGGGAGCTGACTGCTAAAATGGAAACTCAGTATATGTACGTAAATGAGCTTAAACGAACTATTCGAACCCTGGAGGACAAAGTCGCTGAAATTGAAGCACAACAGTGCAATGGGATTTACATTTGGAAGATTGGCAACTTTGGCATGCACTTAAAGTCTCAAGAAGAGGAGAAACCTGTTGTCATCCATAGCCCTGGATTCTACACAGGCAAACCTGGGTACAAACTGTGCATGCGCCTGCACCTTCAGTTACCAACTGCTCAGCGCTGTGCAAACTATATATCCCTCTTTGTCCACACAATGCAAGGAGAGTATGACAGCCATCTCCCTTGGCCCTTCCAGGGTACCATACGCCTTACAATTCTTGATCAGTCTGAAGCCTCAATAAGGCAGAACCACGAAGAGGTAATGGATGCCAAACCAGAGCTGCTCGCCTTCCAGCGGCCCACAATCCCACGGAATCCAAAAGGTTTTGGCTATGTAACTTTCATGCACTTGGAAGCCCTAAGACAAAGAACTTTCATTAAGGATGATACGTTGTTAGTGCGCTGTGAGGTTTCTACCCGCTTCGACATGGGCGGACATCGAAAGGAGGGTTTTCAGCCTCGGAGTACTGATGCAGGGGTGTAGCATCCTTTCATTTGTTTAAAAAGAAGAACTGGGAAAAGTGCCTTTCCTTGCCTTATGTTTGATAATAATGTACAAACAAAACCAGTGGAGAAGGAGTAATACCAATGAATGTTCTTGAAGAGGCCACTTGCTGCATCCGCCTGTTACAAATATCTTACTCAGTTTTTCCTTGGGAATCTATCTCCGTATTTCATGTTTTTCCAGAAATGTTATATTTGAAATGCCTTTGGCAGCAGCAGCTACTTCATCAGTTAGTGTACCTCTTTGTTGTAGTTTCATGGTCATCTGCCCCGTTGTTGTCAAAAACAACAACAACAAAAAAACAAGTATAAAAAAACAGTGCTAAAGCTCAAACCTTTGACAGTAATGAGCTTTGCTTAAAAACTTTGGCTTATTTTTATGTTATTGTATGAAATATATGAAATGTGACATCACTACCGCCTGTACTAGTGCCAGTGAAAGAGTGACTGCTCTGAAAAGTTAAGTTCTCATTTTATTTGACCTCTTACAGATTTCAGAGGATTTTAACCACAATCCTTAGAAACCTTAAGTTCTCATTTACATTGTTTCTTCCCTCCTGATGTTTACTGAGAATACTCAGGGACTGCTTTAAATCCTGAGTATGGCCTTATTTAGTGTAAACATGTCTGTTAAATAACCTGTTTAAGTGTTTCATTCTGCCTTGCTTACAGATTTCCTTGAGGCCACAAAGTGGCGTCTTCCCCAGAGTTTATAATGCTGAGTCCCATGTAGACCCCAGTGCCTCAATGTTACATCATGGATCCATCCCTTTTTGTCTGTTCAGCACAGAGTGAATTCCACAGCCCTGGATGTCTTCTGTTTGTTTTATGCTCACAAAATCACAGGCATAAAAATGAAAACTGACTCAGCTTGTTAACTATCCTGACATCTCACTGGCAATAACAGAAGTTAAAGCTATATGAGCTACAAATATTCAGCCCTTTTGACTACCTTCTGGCTTATTTTATTGTTACAAAATTGATTTCCTAAAAACAGGGTTTTTTTGGGGGGGTTGTTTGTTTCTTTGTTTAGTTATGCAGTCTTTGAAGGTACCAGAGAAATCATTAAACCAAGGTTGAAAGCTGTAGAGAGGATGATACAGCATGACCTGGCTTGAGTGGGTGGCTTTAGTCCAGTTATTGTAGGTTCCGAGGAGGGTTCTGTAGAATGTGCTGAGGTGAGGAATCGATAGGATCCCCCACTGCTGCTTTCCACAAAAGTATTCAAAGTCTGAATGAAGGTAATGAGAGATGGTACTGTATGTCCAAGAGGCAGTGCTTGAGATCTTCTTTAATTTCAAGAGGAAGTTCAGGGTCGTTGTGGAGAGGAGTCTGGTTCTCCATTTTGAGTAACTAGCAAGCGTCACTGTGACCTTTCCCTGTATTTTCCTCTCTACCCCCTTAATACCCTGTCCCATGTTAAAGCTCTTGCTCTGTTATAGAGTGACAACGACAGTCAGGAAAAGACCCTGTTCCCTGCACCACATGCACACTACTGGTTCATCACTAGTTACCAGTTTATTTCCTGACAGTTTGTGTCCCTTCGCTGTTTTCCCCAAACAGCTCCTGAGAATCATCACAGTACCACCACCAAGTAGGGAAACCTGTGCTGCTGTTATTCCTGTCATTATTTTTCAGTGAATAAATAATCAAATTCCATTTAAAAAGTAAGCAACAGTTATTTTTGTATTTGGATAGAAATAGCCTGAAAGAAATATCCTAAATTATTTTTGATGGCTTATTTTTTTGTGCATTCTTGCACTTTTTACATTTTCTACAATAAACGTGTACTCTTATTAGAGAAGAAAATTCATTGTTGCCACAGAATGTCAACTCCTCATTTTAAAAAGGAAGTGATATTTAAAAGCTTCCTGGCTAAATTTCTATTAAAAGCATGTCTCTGCATTAGGTACTAAGAGGAGTTATTTCCTGCCTTGGTTGTGTTTTTTTATTTTTTATTTTATTTTATTTTATTTATTTATTTTTTTGCATAGAAACCTTAAAAACTTCTTTTTGCCTGCCTTTTAACTTTTGTTAGCTTCAGGTTTCACATTTGTAAAATAAGTTGGACTGACTGTTTCAATGGCCCCTTCCAGCCATAAGCTGTCTTAAGAAATTGAGTTTTAGCCCACAGAATGTTCATAATACCTATCAAAGGATTTTACTGGTAGAAAATTGCTTTAACTTTCTCTTTGCTGGCACTAATGCTTTATTTCAAGTTAGTGTCCATCCACTAGGTCACCTCTAAGTGAGCAATTTTTGTAATTCCCAACATCTGGCATTTTGTAATAAACCAGTTATTTTATACTGGTCATTTATGGTGGAGACAGAGTAGAGCCAACAGCCAGGTGGTCATTCAAATGGAAAGTTTTTGACAAGAGTCAACGTGGAATTGAGTCCAAACCTAGAAATTGATTTCTTCTTTATGTTTAAATTTCCTACCCCATTCGTAAGCATGCCAGTTTCACCAAATAAGTCTACAAGCATTTAAGCTGTAAGCTTATAATTTGTTAACCATCATTTCACACAGTCATCTTTCATCATCTTTACCTTTTAAAAAATTGTTTACTGTTTTGCAGAGTTGTCGAATCCTATGTTGCAAGTCAGACATTTTGCTCTTAGAAAACATCTGGATGCTGACTTGTAGTTTGATAGTTTATTACTGCCCTTTGGCTGTTGCTGCAGTAGCAGTTTCTGGCTATACTAAAATGTGATTCAACTTTTATTTTGGGGATGATTAGTAGAAAAAATGAATTAAGATAAAAGGTGGGTTTTTTTTGCTTTTTTTTTTTTTTTAATCCTGATGATGGACTCATAGTGATGTTGGATGACCTCTAGCAGATAGTTTTGGTGACTGGTATAAATTATGTTCTTGGGCACTAGTTCTGTACCAGTAAGTCTCAGGCAAACTAAGAACTTGCATATGAATTAATGCATGCAATTAGAATGCATTCTCTTTACAGGGGAGCAGTTGCTTGTCATTCGTTCCTTTATCCATGGATTCCTCAAATCTCTGGTGACCAAGCAACATTTTTACTATCAGATTTTTCTAACTTAAGACTTTGAAGCATATTTATTTTATTCAGTTACAAACACAGCTCTGCTCTTGGCTTGCTTCAATTAAATTCTATTCACTGTTTTATATAAAATACCATTAGGTATTGTGTGTGTGTGTGTGTGTGTGTGTGTGTGTGTGTGATGCCTAGTTCCTTAAAAGCCTTGGGGGAAAAGGAATGGCAGTTTGTGTTTTCTTTTGAAATACTTTTTTTTTTTTTACTTCCCAGATTCACATGCTAGCTTATGCCTAGCTTCACGGGTGCCATCACTGTGTTTTTTAAATGAGCTAGCCCTTCCAGACTCCCAGCATCCAGGAAGATGGTCTCATGAAACCAGACTGAAAGGATCTCAGCAGCTCATAACCCAGTTAGTTACAGCTTTCACATTGAGTCAAATTCAGAACTTTGCAAGTTGTCTAGTTTTTCACAAAACGTCTCCTGTGTTCCCCATCCCTAGGCAGAGGTCACGATACAATAAAGCTGAGAAATAATTGTAGATGGGAAAAGGGTTTTGTGGAATAGGAGATGTGGTGCTCCTTTTCCTGTCAAAGTGCTTTGTCTGCAGGATGCCAGCCCTGCCTGTAAAACAAGAGGAAAGGAAGGGCTGATGCTCCGCTGCTCTAGAGGTTGGCATCTCTGGATGGAGCGCACTCCTCCCAGAAAGCCACCAAAGCAATAGTAACCAATTTTCTTCCATGCTGGCCCCCAGGAAAAAGTAAAATGTTTGTGGGGCAGGGACAGTGTTCTGGTCACTTATGTCCTGTCCTTGGGTTGGTATTTGTCGTGGAGTGCACACTCAAACATGTAAAAACATTAAGTGAAATTATTGTAATAACAATAAATGAAAGCAAGGGTTGGAACTGACCAGTTTCTGATAGTATGTCTTGTACTTGGTTTGCTAAGGCACAGAGGTTACTCTAACAACTTCTCTCAGCACTTTATCATGAATTTTTCAAACATACAGCAAAGTTTAAAACTTAGTGGACATCTACCACCTAGAATCTACAGTAACGTTTTTCTGTATTTGCTCTCTAATTTAATAGATACTATTGTATCTAGGCTGCAAGCTTTGGTTTTCCTTCTCAGTCCTAAAATAATTGAGCAGCTGGAATTCAGTTTTCTTAAATTCTTTGAGGTAACTTGTTATATTTGTAACTACAATTATAGTCCTCACTTTAATTTTAAACTTTTGTGTAAATGTTAGGGTGAATTTTTATCTTATTTATTTTGCCTGAAGGTTTATTTTTATAATCCATCTATTTTGAAAGCCCTTGATCAGTTGTGCCGAATATTGTAATGGTATTTTCACACTTGATAACTTATCCAATTAATTTCTTTAGTGAGAATGTACTTTTGGGCCCATTTTATTTATATAAAGTTCCAAGATTATGTTTCCTAGGGCCTGAAGCGACTATGTAATTTAGCATGTAAACCGCCAAATTAGGAACTTAGAGATCCTGACTGACCGTGGGCAAATCAGTTTTCTTTGTCTTTGTGATGTTTTATCTACCTGTAATGGGTGAACTAGAATTTGAAATTCAGATATTATTATTTAATGGGTAACATTTATTAATGCTTGGATCTCTGTGAGAAGACAGTTTCTGAATCAGAGAAACTTCTGTAACTGTATGGCAGGCTATATGGAATGATATCTGACTTTTGAAAAAATTGAAACATCCAGTGGTCAGAATATCTTATCAGAAAACCTTCTGTTGCTCAGCAATTATATTGCCTTGGAATTTGTAAGTAGTCTTTGTAATTCATGTGGATTCTGAAATGGGTGCTTTACAAAAGAAAGTGAATGTAAAGAAGAGCATCAAGTGTTGGTGATCAGAGACGGAAAATTAGTGTTCAATTTGAAAGAAGGTTGTACTGAAGAAACATTGTAAGAATTAGCCACATTTGGTGTAGCACACCCTCCTTAAGCTGTGCTCCTGCCGGTGGCTTTGCCTCATGCCATCTCCCTCGGGGTCAGTGCAGTTGGACTGCAGGGCTGGCAGAGAGGGAAAGACTGGCCAAAGCAGATCTGTAGATCACCCTCAGATAGGTGAGTGTGACCTGTGCCTTCTGAACCAAGCTATGAATGTGAATTCATGTTTATCTCACAGAAGCAGCTGGAGTTTTTACTTTAATCATGTCCTAGTTGTTGCAAGGATGTAACCAAAGCAGTCTTCCTTGAATGACACCTTATCAAATAAATTTAGAAGAAAACAAATGCCAGACTGATGTACCTTCTCCCTCTCATCTGTTGTTATTCCTCCATCAGCCTGTATATTGCAAGGATATCTTTACAAAAAGAGTACTCTTGATTAAAGTGAAATATCTATTGAAATATGAACAGTATCCAAGTGGTGTTTAATAAAGTATCCAGACTGCTTTGATTTTGTTTTAGTGTTATTCTCTTGGGGGACTGTGACACACTCTCCGAGGAAGAACAGTGCCAAGTGTTAGTTTTTACTTGAAATAAAAAGAGCTAGTACTTTGCTCCATCAGGAAATGGTAAATGAAGATTGATTCTAGTTCTTGATTTAGGGTATGATTTCTGTTCTGGGGCCTTTAGGATTACATTTTTTGAAACATAGTTGGGCCTAAGGAGAAACTTGCTACAGCCACCTTAGGCTCAGTGAGAAAAAGAGACTGTGAAACCAGATTAACAGCATGAATTTACTTCTAACAAAGGTGAAACTTCTCAGTTCCAGGGCTGCAGCTGCCTGTTTTCTCCTTAGTTAGCAAACTCCACAAAGGGGTTTTTAAGTAAAGGCTGCAGGGGTATTAAAAAGATTTTAGGAAACTATGGGGTAATCTATGTCTGTGTAAAATCAACTCAAATTCCCTGAGTGGGGGCAGAAGCTGGTAAGATAGTAAGTGCTTTATAAAAGTCCACCTTAACTTTGAACTTCCAAAAGAGGATAAGTAATGATATTTACAGTTTCATTTCTATTTTGGGTTAGCTTCTGAACACTTTACATCCTCTAGTTCATTCTGTGATTGACTCTTACACAGCACATTTTTTAAATTAAGATTTGTCATAGGACCAACAAGATTATTTCATAAAGTGGCATACCTGCAGTAATTTTTTTGGGTCAGGTGTGGTGGTCAGTTTTCCATCACTGACAAAATTCTGAGATAATCAGCATAAAAGGAGGAAAGGTTTATTTTGGCTCACAGTTTCAGAGATCTCAGTCCATGGTCTCATGGCCTTGTTGATTTGGGCCTGTAGCAGCACAATGCATCATGCTAGGAACACATGGTCATGTAACATGGTACCCAGAAAGCAAAGAAGGACAGGAAGAGGCAGGGTCCTAACACTCCTTCCTGGGCTCACCCACAATGACCTAACTTCCTCCAGCTGGTTCCCACCTCTTAAAGGGTCTACCACCTCTCAGTAGCTATACACGGGGAAGCAAGCCTTTAACAACATGAGCCTTTGAGGGCATTTCTGATCCAAACTATAGCAGTCAGGTTTAGAAATAGTACAATTTAATATAAAAGTGAATCCAATCATAGACTTTATTCTTCTGAAATCTAAGTAGTATAACCACACTGAAAAGTAGATCCTAAATTTCTGAAAAATCAGTACCTCTCATCTTCCTATCTTCCCACTTCCTGTTCTCATCAAAATGGCTGGCAGAAATTAATTTTTTAAAGCCTATCTTTTTTAAAAAGCCTCTCTATCCCAGTTTAATTTTTCTCCAAGTTATAGCACCTGAGGACATATAGATAAAAATCCCTGCCAAAAGATCCTAAAGTAGACAGTCATTGCTTTTACAATAGTTAGTACCCTAAAAGTAAGGTGCATTTTAAAGGTAATCTGATACTCCTTTGGAGTCATTGTGAAAGGAAAAGGAAAGAAAGCAGGCTTTTTGCATAGGTAGGCTCATAGAGCTGAATTTCACTGTGTTTATACTTTTAGGGTCAGAGTTGTGCTTTTTTTTTTCTTTTGCTCAATAGTAAAATTACATAACTAGATCAAAAAATAATATCTACACTGATGGCAACTGAAACAAAATGTTTATGAAACACTTGGTTTCAATGTATTCGGATCTTTTCTGTTCTATTTCACTTTTAAAATACAGCCCCAAAGCATAAATCATTTTATCAGATTGGAATTTACCTCTTAAGACCTGAGGATTTAAAGTAGCTCAAAAAGTTAAAAGCCAAATTCATTCTTACACACACAAACACAGCAACGGGCCCTCAGTCCACAGGGGGTTTGACACTGACCTCCAGGGTCCTATCTTTGGGCCCTCACAGCCCAACCCTCTGCTTGTTCTATGCATGCTGGACTCCCCTTGGTCTAGCCCCTGTGGATTGGCCTCTCAGTGCCTGGCTCTGCTGGTCCTGTTGCTCCCAATTCTCCATCTTCCCCTCCAGTAGGGATCAGCTGGTTTTGTGAAAGGAAATCCCCATCTTCTTTAAGATTCGGATCCTCTCCACTTCTCTAAATTATTTTAGAGACTTAAACTTTAGGAAAACAAAATGCTCAAGTGGTCCTGGTGACACACCTGTAATCCTACCACTCTGGAAGGCTGAGGCAGGACGGTCAAAAATTTAAATCCAGCCTAGGCCAGACCTTGTCTGAAAATAAAAATTTAAAATGGCCTTTGCTCTATGGGAAGGTCCTGGAGTCAACCTCCAGTACCACCAAAAGTAAATTAATAAATAATAAAATTATGAGCTTCTAACTTTGTTTGCTTTGGCATATGCCATATAACTTTCCTGAAGCAATAAGATGGAGCCTTACCTATTTTAATGGAGCAGCTGGCAAAAGAAAGGGAGTGGGAGATGTATTAATATCTCAAAAGGTGGTTTGCAGCAGTGAGCATCTCCTTAGTTAGACTGTGAGCTTTCAAGGAGAAAAACAGTCCTCTCTTCGATGGGAATCAGAGCTAATATGAGGTTGGCCTTTATTAAAGGATAACTTTCCAAAGAGAATAACACAGATACCAAATGAGCCTGTATTAAAGATTTTATTAAATTCTTAATGAGAGAACCAAGCAGGTGTTACAATCAGTTCAAAGGAGAAAAGAAAGAACAAGCACACTTATAGACCAGAAATTTGAAATAAATATACAAATGGAAGCAAAAGTAATGTCTTCCCCGGTGGAGAAAGGAAGTCAAGAAAAGAAGACAGCCAGGAGCAATGGTGCACAACTGTAATCCCAGCTACTTAGGAGGCTGAGGCATGAGTATCACAAGTTCAAGGCCAACCTGGGCAATTTAGAATCTATCAAAATAAAAAGGCATGGGGCTGTGGAAATAGCTCAATGATAAAGCACCCCTGAGTTCAATCCCGAATATCATATAGAGAAAGAGAACATGATATTTGCATTTCTAGAAATGGTTATCACTGTCATCTACAGAACAGAGTTGTAAACGAAATTTCCTTAGAATCAGAACTGATAAACCCAAAGAGTATGAAGGAGCCTAAAAACGCATAGTGTTCCACTGAGGCACAGTTTTTTCCACACCTTGTACTGAAGAAAATTTAGTCCATTGTGTAGATTATAAGCAAATAGGTTTGAGATACCCATTTCAGCCTAGAATTGGACTATTCTGTCATTTTCAGTAAAACGATAACTTCTGCAAAACACCAAACTAGGAGACATTGACAGCAAACAGTTTAAGAAACGTGGCAGTAGGTGGCAGCAAAGCTCTATTCCTGAAGGATGTATCTTCAAAAAGAAATCTAAAATAGCATTATCCATGAGTCCCTGAGCCTTTTGTCATAATAGTTGCACAGAAACTTGGGTGTATAAAACCTACGTTTATTATTTAGAATATTCCATTGATGAATTATTAATTTTATAAATTTTATATTAAATTACAGGGATTTAACAGGAAAAATATCAAAAAATAAGTATTGAATATGTAATATTTATTGAGTGTTTATAAAAATGTATCACAATTTTCAGTATCAACATTTTTGGTGTACAAACTCTAAAACATAACAGCAGAAATAAATTCCTATATGAACTACAGTAAAAATACCAATAGCACCTTACAAAAAAATCTTTACTTCAAAGGTACAAATTTCCAACAATGAATGTTATTATATTGTATACACTAAATGTACCAATAAAATTAATTTTTAAAAAGTCTTTACTTCAGTTATCATACCTAAGGCAATCTTCACACATGATAACAGCACATTCCATAGCACATTACTCTAACAGCACGTGTTTTGCTTTCCTAGCCTTTTTGTAAGATGTACTTGACTGAAACAATCTTGTTGTTTTGTTAGGAGGTCCTTACTATATTACACAATGTGTAGTTAACATGAACATAAAATATCAGTAAAATAAAGTATTAAATTCTTCATATGTATTGTGCATTTAGAATAAATATTTTTACATCAGCTGTGTACTTGCTTAAAAAACCTAAAAGGTAACATCAAAAATAAATTCCTATATGAGCTACAGTGAAAATACCAATAGAACTCTACAACAAAAATAATGTTTGCTTTGATTGTCACACCCAAGGTAGTCCTCACACATAACAATCACATGTTCCATGCACACGTCTCACTAATACTGACAGCACATATGTTTAGCTTTCTTTTCCTGTTGGCAGGCCATTCTTGTCATCTCTCTTCTCTTCCTGTTTTGTCAAGAGCTTCCTACTATATTCTGCAACATGCGCTCAGCAGAAAAATAAGATATCAGTAAAATAAAATATCAAATATATAATGAGTGCTTAGACATAAACATTTTCTAATCAGCTGTATACTTGCTTATAAACCTAAAAATATCAGAAATAAAAACCTGTGTGAACTACAGTGTAAATACAAACAAAAGTCTACCATAGAAATAACCTTTGCTTCGGTTGTCACACTTAAGGTAGTCTTCACACATGAAAACTGCATGCTCCATACATAGGTATTGCTTACACTGATAGCACATATGTTTTGTTTTCCTCTCCTTTCTTGTAGGGAGCTGTTGACGTCATTTTGGTTTTCCTGTTGTCATAGTGGGTCTTTATGATGCTGCACCTGGCTGTTCACTTGTCAGCTCACCAGTGTGCTTCACAGTATTTTTGTGTAATCTGCTAGGCAGAAACATTTTATTTTTCCTCATAAATGATCTTTTATGAGTTCCAGTCCCAATCCTCTAAGAAAATTTCTCCTTGTTATTTTGCCCTTTTGTTTTCTTTATAAACTATCAAACTATGTCACACATGTTTAGAATTAAGTAAAACACAACCATTGGCCAACACTCTATGTTTTGAGTGACATCATAGATACTGCATAACTCATCAGCAACATCTACTCCACCTTTCCTTTTTTTTTTTTTTTTCCTTTTCTCTTTTTTATTTTTGGTACCAGGGATCGAACTTGGGTCCTTTTGTTTGTGAGGCAGGCATTGGAACCACTGAACTATATACCCAACCCTCCACCTTTGCTTTTGTTGTACAAAGTTTCTATCTCAGGTTTCTGTCACATTTTTGTCAAGGTTTCCCTATCAATATTTCCATCTCTTGCAATGTTGACATCAGCAGTACCAGTTTATTATTTTTTCTATATACAAGGCCAATGTAAATCTTTCTGAAATCCAAAGATTGTACTATACAATTCTGTTTTAAAAATGCAACATTTCATTTGGAATTTCTTCTTTGTTCCTAATCTGATCAATGTGTGCTCTGTTATCAAATGTAGTATCATTGGAAACTAGTAAACCAATTATCAAATATCACATTCCAATTAGTTTAGGAAATGAGAGCAACAAGTCAGTCCACAGCATCAATCATTTTATTACTATATGAATAAGAACCTAGTGGCTGAGTTCCAGGATAAATATCTAAATTGAGGCAGGTGGGCAGAACCACTGAGCTAAATACCTAACCCTTAAATATCTAAATTAAAATCATAATGTC